GTGCGAGGAGCAGGCAGGGACTGCTTGTGTGGAGAACCCAAGTCTGAAGAGACCTGACTGCAGCCAGCGTGGCTGGGGGAGCACAGCAGAGCCAGGGGAAAGGGGGACTGCCGGAGTCTGCCCTAGTTTCCCTGAGGGGTGAGGGGCGCCAGGGGCAGGCCAAGCCCAGGGGGGGGCTGCATTTGCTGGGGCTGTGAGGCTGTGTGAGGCAGCAGGAGGGTTGCTACAGCCTGCAGCCCAGACACTGCTCACAGCAGAACCAGGGAAGGGGGCAAAGGCAGGGGAAGGCTGTCTTGCAGGAACTGCAGAGGAGCCGCCGCTTGCTGCCCGGAGACCCCAGGAGCACAGAGACGGGCACCAGTGCCAGGGAGCATCCACAGACCACGTGCAGGGACACAGACAGTCCCGCTCCCTGAGATACCCCGCCAGGGGCAGTGCACATGGGATCCCCAGTACACCATGTGCAAGTGAGAGACTGTGTAAATAAGTTCTTGAGGGTTTATTAGACAGTATATCCATGTGTTTATTTCATGACTATTTATTATTATGTAAATAATTAAATCTTGTAAATAGTTTGAGAACTGTGTGCAAGGGTGCTTGATTGTACGGGGAGGCTCTCCGCTCGGGGCACTGCAGCAGCTTCCCAGGGGGGCTGAGCAGGGCTACTGGCTACCGGGTACCGGGTACCCCAGGATCCCATTATTCAGGTGAGGGTGCATGTAGTGCCACACCCAGGGTTACAGTGGTATCTGGAAACTTTGGGGTCCAAATGGAGCAACAAAAATGCAATTGGTTAAAATACAAGGGATGTCACATAGAATACCAGTAGGTCCAGTGGTAGTAAAATCAAATGTGCAACTAGATGTGGGAATGCAACCCACAGTTCAGGTAATTAACGTTTCAATTAACTTGTCCACAGCCATCATTCAGCAAGAAAAGCCTCAGGGCTTAATGTGGAAAAGTCAGGGATACCTGCTTTGAGGAGAGTCCCAGCTGAAGAGGTCCATCCAGCCATTGCAGCATGGCTATGCTCAAGCGGGATTTCCCCATCTGCCCTGGTATAGGCTTATTAGCTTGCTAGGTGAACTGAATTGGTTTAATTACACCACCAGCAGCTATTTCCAGCCCTGGATGACAGAAAGAAGAGGAAAAGTAAAAGAGAGGAAGAGAGGTCAGCAGTAAGGGGAAGCACCTGCTTGCCAGCCAGGACTGAAGTTCCCAGGAACAGGACAGCAGACCTATTTGGTCTACAGAGCTCGGAGGAGCTCAGAGAAGAAAAAAATAAGAGAGGAAAAATCCCACAGCAGGCATTTAATTAAGCTGGCGGGATAGCAATTAGTGGGGAGTGAAAAGAAAAAAAGAAATGCTTGATCGCTGGAGCTGTGGTTGAGAATGCCTGGAAGGTAAATGGGGAACGAGGAAAGCCCCAGGGATCCTGACCTGTGGGCAGAGAGAGAGACAAGACGCCATCAGGATTTTTTGTGTTACCTTAATTTTTTTTTCTTGCCTTTTTATTCTCTGGCCGCACCTTCCTTCTTGATAAACAGCAGTCGGTTTTGGGTTAGGGGAACCATAGTCCTCCTAAAATTTAATTAAATCTTCAAAGTTGTGGCAGGTGAGACAGCAGAGAGGAATCCTGACACAATTTTGCGGAATGATGCCTACCCTGGTACAAACAAGGCAAGTGGAAGTCATTGGGATCTACAATTACAGAGTCGGCAGAGATGCACAAGTTTTACACCTAGACAATGCAAGAACAGGAGCCAGGCAAAAAGTCATGATAGGATGATCAACACCTTTTCCTCCCTGTTTGTTTGGACTCTAATCGGCCAACTATCAAGGAAAAATGCTTTGAAGTTATACAATTAAACAGGATAAGAATTCACAAAATATGACAGCAAAGTGTGCACTCCAGGAGAAGCAGAGAGAGTGAGCGCAGCTACATTGCACCCAACTTAACCAGCAAGGGATCCTGCTTGGTGAAAACTGCAAGACTGGACCAGCTTCCTCCACCAGCATTGGTGAGAGAACACTATTGCTGCTAAATATGTGCTAGGACTTTGTGGAGTAGCTCATTTTATTTTGAGAAGGAGTCTTTTTCTGTCATTTGGTTTTATAAGCTTGCTTGTGTTGTTATTATTAAAGCCTTCCTGCTGTTGATCAACTGGGTGTTGCATCAATTCTTGGGGATCTAGGTTTAAAAACCCACTTTCTAAATGCAACAGAACTGTAGTTCTAGCGGTGACCATATTGGAAACAGACTGGGGAGACAATCCCAGACATTTGGCTTGTATTTAAAAAACCCGCCCGAATACAGCACAAGGATGGGGCTGCTGCTCCAGACAGCCTGGCCACAGCTGCCCTCCACCCTCCTTCCCCTGCATCTTCTACCCACTCAGCCCTTGTGAGCACAGGCACCAGCCTCCATGCTGCTGGGCCATGGAGTTCCTGTCTGCCCTCCAAGGCAACCCACTTCCCTGTAGCAGCCCCAGCCTCTACTCCCTGTGGGAGCAGGGGGGAAGTAAGGGAGGGATGAGCAAGAGGCAAAAATCCCAAACAAACCCACCAGCAGCAAATAGCAGCATGCAGTAGCCAAAGGCCTGAACTACAGAAATAGCACAGCAGTACCTGGTGGCAAAAGACAGTAATTACAAGTCTATGACTCGCGTGAATCCATAGATAGGGTGGTGTAAGCAGGGGTGCCGCAAAATAAAACATGTCTGTATTAGTTTAACATGCCAAAAAGACTTTTAAAATGGCAGTAAATCCTGTTTGTGCAAATGGAAATGCAGTTGCAGCAGCTTAAATGGGAAATCTCATGTCCTGTACAAATGCCCTACAGCCATTTGACATATTTTTATCTGGTTAGTATGTCTGGTTGATGTCAGATGTCAATGTATCTATTTCCACTAGTTAACAGATCTCTTTTCACACATTTGTCTGCTTAGTATTCCTAATGTGTGTCAGGTGAAGCTTGGCTGCTACTGTAACTTACAGTAAATGGTACTAGCTTCAACTACTGATGTTCAGTGCTGGGTGGTGTTTAAATAACCCAGTATTCTCTAGGATGTTAATGACAGAAGAGAACCTGGGGGAGGGGAAACTAATTTTACCCCTGATGGAGGAAATGCTGCCAAAAAGTTGTGGAACTGAGGTCCAATCCAAGATAGGAACAGGGGCCGCAAAGAGGGCAGTTGCCAAGCAGTTCACTGGGAGAAAGAGGAGCAAGAGGAAGAGAAATAGGACTTAGGAACCAGGCAGAAGGTCCTGCTCTGGAAAGATAAGCTGCCTGTGTGTTTGGCTTGCTGAGTGTTTGTTAGTTGTTGTGGGAGCTTTGGGCTTGTGCTCTGAGAAGCTAGAAATGCTACTTGCTGAGTGACTGGGTGATTTCTGCCTGTCTGACAAAAACTATAACAAGTGGGTGGAGCCAGTACTAGCAGGGTATAAAGGGAGCCTTCCCCCCAGCAACCAGACAGTGAGTGAACAGGGATAGCAAACAGGACAGTTTGCAAGCAGTCCTTAGTTCTGTTTACTGCATTGCTCTTTGAAGATAAGCCTTTAAGGTAAGCTCTTTGTTTAATTAATAGTTTATTTATAATTAATAACTTACATATATGTATTGTAAGTAGCTAAAACTCAGGAGTTAGACCAGTGCTTAAGCCTCTTGCTTAGCTATAGTCCGAGGGGTGGGGGAGATCACTAGGGACTCTGCTAAGAAGCTATCGCCAAGCTTTCTTGACTGTTAGCTGTCTCGCAGAAAGCAGGAAAAATAAAACCTTTTGGAACCAGGGAGTAGTGAACAGGCCAACTTACAGGGGAGAGTTTTAGGGAATGTCTGCTTGGAAAGGGTGGCAGGAATAGAGTAGTAGTGGATTAAGAGATCCAGATAAATGGATAGAGTATATTGCTGGTTGAAGACTGACTGGCTAAGTAGCACCAGAAGCGCAGAGAAGGTTAATGGTATCCTGGGCCGGCAAATTGAGGGAAGTGAGTCTTCCCCTCTATTCGGCACTGGTGCAGCCACATCTGAAGTCCTGTGTCTAGTTCTGGGCCCCCACTCCAGGAAGGATGTAGACAAATTGGAGAAAATCTATTGGAGGGCAACAAAAAAGGTTAGCGGGCTGGGGCACATGATTTCTAAGGAGAGGCTGAGGAAACTGGGCTTATTTCATCTGCAGAAGAGAACTGAGAAGGGATTTAATAGCAGCCTTCAACTACCTGAAGGGTAGTTTGAAAGAGGATGGAGCAGGACTGTTCTCACTGGTGGCACATGACAGAGAAAGGAACAATGGTCTCAAGCTGCAGTAAGGGAAGTTGAGGTTAGATATTAGGAAAAAAAAATGTCACTAGAACATGCTACCCAGAGAAGCTGTGTAATCTCCATCCTTGGACATCTTGAAGCCCCTGGTAGCTAAATGTTTGGCTGGCATGATCTAATTGGGACTGGTCCTGTTTTGAGCAAGGGTTGGAATAGATGACCTCCTGAGGTCCCTTCCAACCTTAATTTTTTCTGATTCTGTGATAGGGTACACAGGGCTCTTGAACCCTAGTTGCCAGACAGTTTAGGAGTGTAGTCCCATAGATAGACAAATGAACAATGGGCTTTGCTCCCACCAGCTCCTGTAGCCACCTGGTTCCAAATGAGTTGGCATCTGCCTTTCCTTTGGACTAAGGCAGAGAGGGAGACACTGGTATACAGGCAACCCAGTATCTCAGTAGACACATCCCAGGCTTTTGTGCCATGGAGAGGTCACCCCAGCTCTATAGAAAAGCAGATTGCACCATTGCCACAGAGAAAAAGAAAGAATGAGTTTGTCTGACCATAGCATTATCAGACTATCTGAATTTCAACTCCCATTTTATTTTGTGAGCCTGTCTTCTGTCTTGAAAGTCTGAGTGTTGTAACAGGCTGAACAATGAAAGGTTCTTTAAATTGATTTACTGTGATTTAAGGAGAAGCTTATTGCAGGGGATGGATGAGCTCCCAAAAGGTCCATCTCTCTACCCTGTATTCTACAGGAGAACAGTCAGTCATTATCACTTTTGGGAGCTGGTAACCAAACAACAAAACATCTGCAAGGGGCTAAGGCTTACCAGGAGAGTACTGGGAGAAAACAAACTGGCAGATCTAAAAGGATAAAAAAAGTTTTATTTGCTAATCACTCTTTACTTGACCAGCTATAGGGTTGAGAAGAGATGTTAGACAAACTTGTGAACATGGAATACTCCTCTTTGGGTCTCCCAAAAGATTGTCTAGGATCTCCACTGACTCTCTATTTGTCCCAATAAAAGTTATTACCAAAGAAATCTTACTACTTCCCTATTCTCTGGGCTGGGCAGGGGAGGGCTAACCCATGGCATGGCTAGCCCCATTGTGACATATGGTAGACTGGGGAAGGGACAGACTCACAGTGGCAGATAGGACAGAGAACAGAAGGCAGATCAGACAGGGACACAGAACAGGGAGCAGAAAGTTGAGCAGCAGATCATGGAGTGGAAGTGGATCAGAGCGGTGCTTGAGCAGGGTATGGGGCTACTTTGTGGTACACCTGTCGAAAAGGTTGGCTCCCACTGACCTAGATCATTCCAACAACTCTAGTAAAAAAGGGAAATGTAAATTTAGTAGCTGCCTCTTTATGTCTTTTCTTTGATTATGATCTGATGGTGGAAGAAAGGAGGTCTTGGGACTCTGAAGAAATTAATCAAAATTTGGAGAACCCTCAAGGATAATAGAATAACTGAATATGGGTGTTGCCTTATTTTTGTCTAGATCTGTGTGGCTTGTAGGACTGCAGCGTGTGGTTTAGAAATACTTCTGCCAAGTCTGTAGTTCTTATTTTAATTGTCACCTCCCCTTTGAGGGTTAAACTATAAATTGGAAGACCCATGACAAAGAAGCTCTGGGAGGGTGAGTTTAAGATAATCAGAGTGGGTGTGGGGGGGCTCAGGACCAGTCTTTCATCTTGGGCAGATGGGCAGTTGGGTGCCATTACCAAGCAGAAATGTAGGAGTAGGGATTTGGTCTCTGAGAGAGTCTGGAAGCAGTCATAACTGTCTGTACTGCTAAGATTGGGTGGGATTAAAAAAATACAGAATCCTGTGCTTGAGTATCCAGCAAATGGAGCTCCATCATGCCTGTCATGACTTACCTCTCTGTTTTGCAGGGCTACATAATGGCAGCTACATGGAACCAGGCTCAAGCTGTAGTAAGACCAGAAGTGAACCATCAAGAAGTAGAAAAGGTGAGGGAGAAGATTGAGATGTTGGATTTGGGTGCCATCAACTGGGAGGATTTCCTCATGCCAGCACCATCCTCTGTTGCCATCCTGGGAGAAGTGGTGAGCAATTCCATGGAGCAGAAAGAATTTAAAGAGCTTAAATGTCTGTATAAATTGAGTACACAAGCAGAAAATGCCTTCTCCAATGCTGATGCAAACATAGAAAATATTTGCATGTGGTTTGAATGCCTCACAGAGATGATGAAAGATGTTGTTATAAAGGGGGATTCAGTGGGAATAGATGATCTCCAGTGCAAGAGAGAGCAAGCTGAGGCCCGTAAGTCTGCCATTCGGAAGACAAAGGACATGTTCTTGGACCTAATAAAGGACCTCCAAAACCTGCTGGATGCCTGGTCTAAGGGTAAAGAAAACTGTCTGGATAGGCAGAGAGAACTGGAACAAGCTATGGAGCAGAAGAAACTAATACATCAGAAGATTGCCCAAGAAAAGCAGAACAAAGAATTCAGGGAAAAGCAGGAAGAAGTGTCTGTTGGTCAGATGAAGGCCGATCCGATCTTATTAACCCCAGATTTGAAGACTGAAGATGTTAAATCACAGATACAGCAAATGGGGGAAGATTTGATGAGAGACCATGATAAACATAAGGACAGCTTTGAGACCCTCCTTAAGCTTAAGGAGAAGCAAAAGGAAATTGATGAAAAAATTATTATGCTTAAGTACGAAGGAAACATAGTTGCCTCTCTAGACTATAATCTGAAGGAACTGGAGAAGGTGAAGGAAAAGTGGGAGAATATGGGGAGTTTCTTCCAGATGATCTTCTACTTGATTGACTCCTGCCTCTACTGGATCCAGGAATATTCAGGTTCTAATGAAAACAAACAACAGATCGACCAAGCATTCAAAGCTTTCAGAGTGGCTCACCTGGGGCAAGTGATGTTAGAGACCTACACTAAAATAAATGAGAAGAAACTGTTCAGCCAAATAAAAGAGATCCTATGTATGAACCATTCTGATCCTCGTTTCTGCTCTAAGAAAAAGGAGCTAGATGAAACTTGTAAGTTCCAGAAGACCCAGTCCAACCTGGTGCTGAAAATGCAGGAGGAATTTAAAAAGAAGTTAAATAGCATGGAGGAGAAGATCAAGAAGACAGACTCATACTGAACTCATGAGAAGGCCTTATCTACTAGCCCAAGCCAGACAAAGCTTCACAGTCAAGTGATTTAAAGTTCCCACTTCTTCCTTCTAGATTATTTTTCTCCCTGAAGATCCCAACCAGTTGTTCTCTCAAAGCTCCCCTCCAAGAAAGTTCTGCTCACTTCCACACCAACTCTCTGGAGATGCAAGAACTAGAAGGCGTCTCGGGTCTCATCTTATCTACTCCTGTCAATCACCACTACTGAGTTGTTCCCTTCAGACTATAGCCCCAGGGCTTTAGCTTTCAGTGCCCCAGGGGATGCAGTTCCCATTCTTTTCTCTTCTTTTTTCTTTTTTTGTCCTCATCCAGAGGATTCATCAAAGGTAGCAGAATCCACACCTTCTTCCAAAAGCAGAATGGGAACTGTGTGCCAGAATCCAAAATTATGTAATTTGGAAGACTGTGTAATTGGAAACCACGTTGGACTAGCGGAGTGACCACAGCCCTTGCAGATGGAAGCTGGACGCAGGGCAGGAAATGGGTCACCTTTATTAACCAGTCTACCATGGCAATAATGGTGTCCTAACCCTGAGATGTTGGGAGCTCTGTTTTAAGTCCATGGTAATATGAGCTTAAGGTCTTTAAGGTGTCCCTGTGGGTATGAAGAATCTGAATGATTTCTGAGGAAACGTCTTGTGGAATTCATTGCCTCAGCAAGTGGTGGAGGCAGATAGCCTAGTGAGGTTCAAAAAGGGAGTGGATAAATATATTCGTGGCTGTTGAACACAATGGTTGGATATGTGTCCCTTGGCATCTCGCATCACCCATTTATTGGGTTAGAGGTAGGGTATTGAATAGGGAATAGATCACTCTAGAGCTATGCAGTTCAATACTCTCCCTCTATAGCAGGTGTGAGCAATTATTTGGGTGGAGGACTACTTAAGTTTTGGTGATCACTTGAGGGCTGTACACACAATCTCTCAGATAATATTATTTCAACAAATTATTGAATAAAAACCAAATCCATATACAAATGAAACACTTACTATAAATATATTTTAATTAAAAAATAATAATCATTATCCAGATTTGTTTCTCCAGGGAGTGAATATAGAGTTGATTGTATAATAGTGTAAAATTAAAGTCTTACTTTGTATATTGTGTATGAGGGGGGTGGGGGCGGGGTGTATGTGGGGAGGTTGTGCACATGTGTGGGAGGGCTGCCAATGCTTTAGATCCTGGGAGATGACTGGGGATAGAGGGAGGGAGAGGAATGGGGGGCATGCAGGCCAAGGATAGTGCCACTGCGCTTTAGGGGCAAAGGGGAAGGTGAGATAGAGGGCCCACTGGGGGCGGCGGGGTGGGGAGAAGAGCCTATAGTTTATGATGAGTTTATAGTTGTTAGTGCTGTTGCTTCTGTAGGAAATTGGGGAGTAGGCATTGTGTTCCTACATTTTTCTTTTTCTTTTCTTTTCTTTTTTTTGGTTCTGCTCCTGTTACTGACAATAAAATAAATGCTTTGGTGAAATTAAAATGAGTTTTCATCCATGTCTGTCTGCTGCAATAGGAAGGGGTTTAGAGGCATGGGTTGTGGGGGGAAGGTAAGCCAAACCAAAAAAAATAGGCTTGTTTCAGACATCTTGCAGTAATGAAAGAGGACACACCCACCTTTGGATTGGGGGGAGGGGGCAGAATGTGGGTACCACAGGGTATGGTGATGAACAGTAATTGGGGGGGTGCTGCAGAGCACCCATAGTATTTTCTTTGAGCACATTCAGCTTCTCAGTTCTCCCCACCCACCCCATCCAAGAAGTGAGCTGGGAGGGACTTTCACGGCCCTGGCTTTTATTACTGTGATCAGAGACAGACACATCAGCCAAAACAAGGCCAGGTGGGTGCTTTAGAGTGCACGTAATATTTCCTCAGAGCACATGCAGCTTCTTGGGGATCAGGAATTCAGGTGGTAAATTGGCAGTGGAGGAAAACCAAATCAAATTCAAACCAGGGAGGCAAGCTTGACTAATTGCTAATTACCACTATTGAAAGACAGGCATGCTCATCAGCACCTCCTTAAAGCCCCTCACCCTCAAAGCCAGTAAACCCCCTCCCCCACCCTTCTACACTTCCTCTCTTACACACAGGGAGCATGAAGTAAAGAACTGAACAAAGCAAATAGAAACCTTTTATTTACGAACCAAATGTTAACCATAATTAAATAAAACACAGGACAGCTTTTATAAGATAACAATGCATAAGTACTATAACAGAGGAATTCCTTTTTACTGCCATAGCAATGCATGATTCATGAAAAAAATCAATCTAAACAATAAGCATTTCTAACTAAAATAACTTGGATCTAAGATGGACTTTGTAAGCCTGACTGTGAAGTGGTGGATGGCAGAGCACAGATCCATACTGGCCTGTTCCACTCCCAGGCAGGAATGGGCCTGATGATAATCAGGCACAGAATCATTGCAAGGAACCCAGCCATTATTTACCTGTCATTCTGGGTCTGGGAATACCTCCTGGACTGGAAGCAATTCTTGTTGTGCAGGATGGCCATGAATCTGGCCATAGCCAGAGAGATCTGTCTCACCATCTTGCGGTTCCTTAGGTTGTTCATAATCCTTTCTGCATGTGCATCAGTGGCAGCCTGCCTCAGTAGCCTGCATGTCCTCAGTGGTAATGTTACAAGCAGAGCTGAAAATTAAGAAATGTGGGAAATAGGGTGAATAGAGGATGCCTGTCACTCTAAAAAGATACTCAGTGAATCTTGCAAGTGGATAAGAAACAGTTGGCCCAAAATGACCGAGAAGGGGTGCCTGGCCACTGACTATACCAGGCCCACCCTGAGTGGCTGAAAACAAGTGCCCACCCACTTTGGCCACTGATGCACCTCCATGCTGTGCATTGCCCTGTACCTCCCTGCACTGGCCACTAACTCCCGAGGTTTTTAAAGCACTTTCCTATGATATCCTCCTCCCCAACTTCACCTATAGCCTAGCCTAATGTTCGCTGTCAGTTCAGGTGAAATATAACTTAAAGGGTCCCCAGGGCTTCACATACCAGGTGTGGACATCAAACCCTATGGTCTATCCTCCTTGGAGGCAGTGGAAGGTGACTAGACTGGGACCCTGCCACTATTTTCTCCACTGGAGACTTGCTGAATTGAAGTGGTGATTGGTGATGTCTCAGCAGGCAAGGACACCCCAGAGGCCTCTCTCCCTGTGCATTCGCAGTGATTCAGTACCTTCATTACCAGCTGGAGGTATCTTTAATAGGTCATATCATACGGTGGGGTTCCCTGCCACTATGCTTTGGTGACATCCCTGCAGAAAGCACCCTGTAGCATCTTTGCCTTGACATGGCACTGGACTGCCATCCTGTTGTGCCCCCACTCACCCGTTGGAAGGAGATAACTTTCTGGGGAGCAGATCAAAAAAGACAGAGGCAAGGCAGATGGTGGAGGTGGGAAAAGACTGAAAAAGGAGAAGAATCCATTTGCATTGGGACCATGAGTCTTAAAGAGGCCCTGCCCTTTCTTCGGCAGGGTATATTTTTTCTTTTACTTGGTTTGTGTTTTGTTCTTTCCCCTTCCTTCCTGGACTGTGCTGTGGAAGAGAAGTAGCTAGCCTGCCCTAGCATGGAGGCTGTCAAAGTAAGTTTGTCCCAAAAGAGGTGTTAGTCCTGACCCAGGGTCTGATCCCAGAACTGCAGTTGGATCCTGAAGGTGGGAAACTAGGGATCTACAGGACCATACAAAATAGATGGACATGAACTTTCTGATTCAAACATGAAGAAATGAAGCAATTCCATTTTAGTTTGGCTTGTGACCCCATGATCTTTCTTTTTTGAGAGAATCTTTTCTAGATTTCATCTGTTGGCCTACTCAGGAGGCCAAATTGATCTGAGTTAAGTTTCTACTGAGACCCAGAATGAATTGATGTACATTAATTAAGACATTCCTGAAGGAAAAGTTGATTTTTATGATCATCTTTATTTTGAATTTATTGGGACTGACTTCCGTTAAATGTCATTCGGCATAACACAAGCTGCCGACAATTTATACACTTTAAGCACAATAGGACTTGGCAAGGATGGGGTGTGAGGGGAGGAGGAGACCCAAGAAGCGAGATTTGCTGGGATGAGCAAGAAGGGTTATTGCTCAGCCTTCATCCACCTCCCTGTAAACATCAATCAACATCAAGGTGAGGCAGGTGAAAGATAGGCATCACAGGCCAGATAATTGTAGAATACACTTAACCTCCTCATGACTCATCATTACAGCAAGACCTCATGTCATTGGGGACCACAGCCATATAGCATCCCCACCCAACAAAATGGTGCGTTGGCTGGGAACCTTGACAGTGATCCCATAATAGAAGAAAATATGGACCTCCAGCCACCTGCAATGGCTGGGTTGCAAGTACTATAACAGACATGAAGTTTGATGGGTCAACTATTACAGCAACAGCAGGTGGCTGGACAGATAGCTTTGGAAGAGAAACTGGTTCAGCAACTGGATATAACGCAACTGGATGTAACGCAATCAGACAGAACTGAAAATTCCAAAGATGACCAATGATGATGATCCAGAAGCATTTTTGGAAATGCTTGAGTGGGCTGTAGTGCTGGCCAGTTTGGACAGGAGTCAATGGGCTGGACAGCTGAGAGTACACCTTTTCAGGGCTGTACGAAATGGCAGCGTTCCACTTTGACCAGCATTTCAATGTTTTGATGGAACAGCATTCTGTTTTGAATTTTGTTTTGATTTTAAACAGCTGTTCCATTCCATTTTGTTGGAACAGTTCACCGTTTCAACTCTATTTCGACATTTCGCCCATAAGTTATAATGGGGGGGCGGGGCTCAAAACAATGTATAACTTTGCTATTTATGGGCTGATTTGGATGAAACCTTCAGGAATGGTATCTCCTACTGAGGTCATAAAGTTTTCTAAGTTTCAAGGAGCTAGGTAGAGGGGGTTCAGGGAACTGCACCCCAAATCTTGAAAGTAAAACACATGTCACATGTATGTGTTAAGCCACAGTGGGATCAAAACTGCAGGGATGCTAGCCCCTGCTGAGGCCATAAGGCCTGCTAAGTTTCAAGGAGATAGGTGAAGGGGAAACTGCACCTTAAGATGCAGACAAGTAAAACTCATGACATGGATGACATCGTGTGTTAAAGCTCAGCAGGGTGAAAGCTGCAGGCCTGCTAGCCTCTGCTGGGGCCGTGAAGCCTGCAAGCTGTCAAGGACATAGGTGCAGGAGCTCCTGGGTTCTGGGACCATACACCTCCAGTTGCTGACAGGCAAAACTTGTGTCATGGGTGCTTGTGGGACTGTGTCTGTCTTGGGGCAGGGGGGGTGAATAATGCAGGCCTGTTAGGCCCTGCTGTGGCCATGAAGCCTGCCAGCTGTCAAGGAGATGGGTGCAGGGTGGTTCTGGGGCCCTGCACCTCTGGCCGCAGATGTGACACTGGCTGGAGACAAGAACCACTTCAACGATCCAGTCAAGACTTTTTTCTCTCTCCCACTGGCTGTATGAAGCTGTTCTCTGTCACATCAGTCTTGCTCTTGTTCAGCTTGAGTCACTTGCTTAAGAGCTAATTTCCTGGGGGCATCAAGAGCTAATTTCCTTAGCTCTTCGAGGCATTTGAGCATTGCAGCAGTGCATTTG